GCGTGGAGCCAAGCCTGGCCTCCAGGAGAGACTGGAAGCTCACCTCCTAGTACTTTCTACGCCTGCACAAGCCCTGGGACACTAGACCCCCGCCTGGGACACTGGACCCCCAAGCCTTTTGTCTTCCTCGCGGGCCTTTCTCTTCGCTACCGCCCCGCCTACTGCGAACTACCCCCTACGAGCAGGCCGTTCCGCGCTGCGGCTCCAGTGGCCACTCCAAGCGGCCGGTCACAGTGCCTGGATATGGGTGCAGAGCCATCAGGAGCTGGAGCCCCAGGAGGCAAGTCCCGGCATCTGGACTGTGCAGGAGGCGGATTGGCGTAGCAAGACCAGAATGGACAAAGATCGAGCCTGCGAACCAGGAGGAGAGAGGATGGGGGGCTTGGGGCGGAGAACCCAGGCGGAGTTCTTGACCTTGCCCGCGCTGTACCTTCGGAGGGCTGTGGGGCGCGCCCGTCGAGTCCGCAGAAAGTGTTACTTGTCAGCTGCTCCAGCGCGCACAGCGGTGATGTGGGACCAGGGACCGACTCCGGCAGCTGCGGCGCCAAGGGTGTTCTGGGGACCATGCTCTGGCCTAAAATGTCTGCGATACTGAAAGATGTCCGGGGTGTTCCTGAGCTCATGGCGGGACAGTCGGGCTGCGGTGGTCCTGCGGCCTTCTGTGCTCGGCTCTGCAGCCGCTTGCGCCCCAGTGTGTGGCTCCCTATCTGGGCCCCCAGCCTCGGACCCGCCCTCCACAATAGGCCTAAGCCCCGGTGTGCCCCTCCTCCTGCGCCCTCCACCCCCACTCGGAGCCACGGTGGGCTGGGACTCAGTAGATATCTCCCCAGGCAGCCTATTTCTACAGAGTGGGAATTGCCAAAGGAGAAACTAGCTGAACTGAGCCACAGACTAGGGTTGCGAGCTGTTCCGAATTTCAATGGGAGCTCCCCATCTGCACGCAGTCTGCCTTCCCCAGCTGCCGGAAGACTGCGTACCTTACCGCCAGCTCCCTGCGGAGTCGTCGTTCTGGCCCATAAACTCGGTTATAAAATTGTGTTCCAGGGCTCCACGGGTTGAGGATGAGCAAAGTTCGAAGGATGTGCTAGGATTCTAGCCTTTCGGGAGCAGGGGCCTGCTGCACCATCCTGTCTGAGGTCTCTGTCTCCTGATCATACCCCCTGTTCTTGTCCCAACTCGCTGAACTCTCTTAAAGAGTGTCTATTTGACTGGGGGTGATTAATACCACACTCGGGTCCCTATGTGTGTGTGTGGGGGGGGGGGGATGTAGACTTAGGAGGGCCACTGTGCAGTTCCACCAGAGCTTGAGGATGAATGAGATGGGAAAGCAAGCACAGGTGAGTGGATCCCGTCTAGCACCCAGGTTGGACAGACGGAAACTGTCTGCTTCCCCATGTCTCAGAGGCTGTAAGAATTCAGAATACAGTACTTGGAAAAGGCAGGAGACCTGTGCCTCCAGGGACAGGAGGTGGCCACATCAGGAGTTGGTGCTACTTACTGGAGGGAGGAACCAGCCTCCCTGTGGGTAGGTCTTCCTGCGTCCTAGCTCAGTTGCTCAGTCTCTCTGTCTCTTTAATAAACTTCTGTAGTCAAGTCCTTGGGAACTTTGGACCAGGAATGAGGAAGGTGGAATACTTGATGCGTTTGAAAGGTGGCACTGGCGAAGAAAAGTGAAAGCATGTCTTCAAAAAAGTTTAGCCTCCCCTTGCAGAGGGGTCTCGGGGAGGAGATGAGCCAGTCAGGGTGCTATGTAACAATGATGAGAAATACAACTTTCCTCTAATTCCTAAATGTTTCCTCCCTGTTCCCACTACCATGACTCGAATTCAACCTTGCAAGTCTGGCTAGACCAGAGGATGTACACTGGTACAGATAGGAACTGAAAATCCAGGGAATCCAGGGCGGATGAGCCCTATAGGACCAGTGGTGTGAGTGGCGAAACAGGGAGGGTAAAGGGAGAGTGGGTAGGAAAGAGGGAACCGATTACAAGGAACCGTATGTGACCTCCTCCCTGGGGGACAGACAACTGAAAAGTGGGTGAAGGGAGACATCGGACAGGGCAAGATATGACAAAATACCAATTTATAAACTCAAGGGCTCATGAGGGAGGGGGGAGCGGAGAGAGAGGGGAAAAATGAGGACCTAATGTCGGGGGTTTAAGTGGAGAGAAAATGTTTTGAGAATGATGTACAAATGCGCTTTACACAATTGATGTGTGTATGGATTGTGATAATAGTTGTATGAGCCCCTAATAAAATGTTTAAAAAAAGAAAAGGAAAAGAATGAAAAAAAAGTTTAGCCCGAACGCTCCTTTGACGTGCAACTGGCACTCATTATCGCTCACACACGCTGGATGTGTAGCAGGAGAGATCAGGCCCAGAAGAAGGACAGCATGCTTGGTAGCGCAGAGGATCCATCCGTGAAAAAGAGGAAGCTTGCTTGTCAGGGAGGTGGATTGACACAGTGGCTGCAACCTCGGGCTGAAACTGTTGTGTGGATGGCGAGAGCCTGACCAGTGTTTCACTCTGTTGTCTGTGGGTTGCTATGGGTCTGTTGTCAAAACCGTCTTGATGCTTGATGGCCCCTAACCACAGCAAGAACAGTTAGGGTCCCCAGTTCCAGGAGGCTCAGAAACTGGGGAGCAGATGGAGCAGATTTGGTGAACCCAATCAGACCCAAGGCACACAGTACCCGGGCCCTCTGGATGCAGATTTGCCAAGCCAGGGGCAAATGTGGGCCTGGGATATTCATTCCCCTTTTACCTGCTTCCTATCTTGGTCCTGGTCCTGGTCCTGGTCCTGAACCACAGGCGAGCCACCCACAGTCCTTCCCCATCAGAAGAAAGCATCACTTTTAGCTGACAGCGCCACCAACTACTCCCGCAGTAGACACCCCCTCAGGCTAGGTCTGGGTTCACATCTCACTTCCTAGTGGCTTTCTGGAGGTTTTGCAAATAGAGGCAAGAACCTGGGGGATCCTAGCCACGCCCACCTCATGACACGGCCCCTCCCTTTGTTTGTGTGCAGGGCTCCTCTGTCCACCTCATCGGGGGGGTTGGGGGGCAGGGAATGGTGTATGTGTGCAATCCCAAATAGGACGTGGGAGACCCAGGGGTCTGGCCAGAGCCAGGTGAGAAAAACTCTGATCAGGACGTAGTGCCGGCTGGACTCTGCCACTCAAGCAGCCAGGAGCACCGACCTGGCTGGCCATCCTCCCCCAAACACCGAACTCCCCCAAACACTGAGAAACCCCAGGTGTTCTTAGTAAGGGCTCCCTCCAGTGCCAACCCCACCCCCAACACACAGTGGAAGACACACATAGCTCTGGGGGGCCACTGCTGGGTCAGGGCGCAGAGCTAGGCCACAGCAGAAAGCTGAGATGCCTAGGGCCCTTGTTAATTGGTTATTAATGGCAGGGAGGGCGGGGGCTGTAGGAGGACATGGTGAGATCCGCCCTCCAAGTCCGAACCATTTTAATAGTTTCACATAAGCTGCAGTTAAAGTGAGTCCCAGGAGGCCGCTGAAACTGCCCAGCCGTGTCTTGGGCCTGTCACCGAGGAGGCATTGTGACCTTCACTCACCTATCCTCTGTGCAGCGTTTATGCCCTGCCCGCCCCCTGCTCTCCATTACTCCAACGTGGAGAGCGTCTGCCCCCCTCCCATCTCCACTGCCTAGGTGACTCCCTTCAGCCCCATCCAGGTACAGGGATTGAGCCACCCCCCAGACATGCGTTGCCAGAGAGGAAGAAATGGGAAACCAGCAAAGGGAAGAGGCCACTGACAGCAGAGGCCCCATGGGGTCTTCTCCCTGAGCCCTGCCTAGTCCAGACAGTGGCGGGCGGGGCGAGCTGTAGGAGGTGGTCTCCCCAGCGTAGCCTTTGGAACTCGAGCTGGGGAGAAATCAGAGCCTCAGAGGGGGACTAGCAGGAGAGTGAGTGATTAATGAGGGAGATTAGGAGATTAAACCTTGGATCTGGGTTTGGGGGGTACTCAGCTGTCTCCTGGACCCCCTCTCACCCCATCGTGACAGTGTTGACTGTCCCTCCACTGGGGGAAGGGAGCAGCTGGGATGCACCTCCTACTGGGCTGTGCTCTCTGCCTCCCTGCACATGCTATCCCATGGCCCTCCCCTCAAGGCATGGGACCCTAGCCTTTACTATGCCCACCTCCCCCCAAGTCAAGCAGGTTTATCAGGCAGCTTTTCAAAATTGCCAGAATCCTTGGATACACACACACATACACACTCTCTCTCACTCTCTCTCTCTTCAGGTCCCTCTGCTCCCTCCCTGGGAAAGGACATCCTGCTTGGTAAAGCAGAGGGGCAAAGAGAGGAAGACCCCCACAAGAGGGACTGACACAGGGACAGCAGTCATTAGTGAGGATGGTGCAGGACCTGGTGGGGTTTGGGTAGGGTCCTAGGAGGTAGCGAGCACGCATTGACCGATGGTCCCTAACAGCCACTGTGCCCTGACTCTCAGAGAGCTTCACACCCTGGCTTTCCTTCAGCTGGACGATGCCTTCATTCTCATTTAAGGAAACTTTCTCAGCCTCTCCCGTTTCCTCAGAGCCCAGCATCCTCTCCTCCCGGGGTCCCCTAGTTCTACTCTTCCCCCACCCCCACCTTTCACTCCTGGCCTTGCCCAACGCACACTGCTCCAGCAGGGACCCTTGTTGGGCAGGAGGGTGGCCCCATCTACATGCTACCCTTCCCAGGGACAACATCTTGCTCAAATCAGGGACCTTCCCACACCAGCTCTTTTTCCTCTGAATTTTGCCAATGCGTATTCGGGGTTGGGGAGGTTTAGGATTTAGGAATCAGCCCCGAGGGGCGGCAGATGGGGGTGTCTGAGAGATGAGCTTGCCTGCTCCCCTTCTTTGTGGAAATCTGTTACCTGGAGAGAGAAGGGAAGGGGTTTTCTCATCCCACATCTCACAAGCGTGTTTGTTTGTTTTTTAAAACTAAATGTTAGTGTGGAGGGAATAATTCAGGTTTGTATGTTTTCCTTGCGTCATTCTAGAGCCGCAGTTTTCTGAGTGCTTTTTGGCCCTACCCTCGCTGGAAAAAGGACCCAGTGCCGCCTGCCAGTGGCCCCAGTGTGCCGGCTGGGAAGGGGACTGGCTGAATGACACACTGTCACCCCACCCGCACCCTTGAGACTCAGCGTTCATTTCTCACAAGTGCCCCCTCCCCCTCAGGCCCTGGTCCGGAGAAGAAACGTGCATAAGGCAGGGGCAAACCCCCGCGCCCCCTTCCCTTCCCCCCCTCCCAGGTGTGGTCTGGCAGCCGATGACAGGGCTGGGGGAGGTTGGCTGGAGGAGTCCGGGATAACCCTCCTGAAAACAACTCCACCAAGAAGGGGCCCAGGGCAGCATTGTAGCAGTAAAACCGAGAGAACCGTGGGAGAATTCTCCCGCCGCTGGTGCACGGCGAGATCTAAGGGGTCATAGGGGACAGGGCAGGCCCAAGAAGCGGAAAAAGACCCACAAGCCAGAGCCCGCAGCTGGTCTGCATCCACACCGCGGGACACGAGGGAAAAGAGGCTGGGGAGGGGAGGGGAGGCCAGGCAGCACCGCCCTCGCTCTGCACTTTGCTCTAAAACCGCGCCTCACCAAAGGCTTCCCTCTGAGAGGTTTGCTGGGGCACCTAGCTGCACCACACCCGCCCCAGGGCCACCGCGCTCAAGAGGTGATCTCCAACTGCCACAGCTGCCAGGTCTCTGAAAGGTCCTGGGAGCCTCTGCCGCCGGCACCCTCTCCCTCACCGCCATCCCTCCGCAGCCCCACCCTATCCTAGGGTTACGTCTTAGAAACCGTATGCGGGGGCAGGGAGGGGAAAAATGAGGAGCTGACACCAAGGGCTCAAGTAGAAAGCCAATGTTTTGAGGATGATTGCACCAAATGTACAAATGTGCTTGACACGATGGATGGATGGATTGTGCTAAGAGTTGTACGAGCCCCCAATAAAATAATTTATTTAAAAAGAAAGAAACCGTATTTTGCTCAGCAACTGCTTGAGAGCAGTCTGGTGCCAGTGCCTGTCCGGGCGGAGCCCCCATTTGAAGCTGTGAGAAGTATAAATAATCCAAGACCTCGTGATACGTGCTGGCAAAGGCGCAGACCCAACGGAGGGCAGACGGCAGTGGCGGAATCTGGCCAGAGGAGGTGACACTCGGGCCTTCAAGGACAGCGGAAGATGGAGCCCAGGCGCCAGGGCCTCAGCAGGAGGCCGGAAAGTCTAGGCAGTTGGGAATCTTGCTGCCGGGGTCCGGAAGGAACCGCAGCCGGGTCTGCGCCGCTGGCCACCCCCACCCCCACCCCCGCGCACACCCGGTTTGTCGTCCCTGGGCCCGCTGCGTCCGCGACCTTCCCCGGTGCAGTGGTTGGTTGGTTGCACAGAGACGGTAGTTTTCCCCGGGAAGCTTAGGCGAAAAGCCGGAGCTCGCTCGCTCACATCTTTTCAGGCCACCTTCGCCTTCCTTCCGGGCTGGCACCCTCTGCCACGCAGGTTCCATCCCCAAATAAGCCCCTAGTTTTTGTGTTGTGGAGTTCAGCTTCCACTCGTTTGAGATGTAGGCTTCTACATTCAGGTTCTGCGGGGTTTATGCTGCCAGCACCAGCTGGCTGGTCTCAATCAGGCCAGCAGGGAAGTCCGCCTTTTAGAAATCCCCTGTCTAGTCCCAGTTGGGTGAGTTTCTGGCTGCCCCGCTGAGGGGCCTTTCCAACAAACGCATAGGCTTCCATTCAACCCGGGTCGCTCTTGCTTGCGCAGGGCCCAGGTCACAGACAAGAAGCGCTTGGAGATTTCTAAATGGCTTGTTGAAGGCAGGGTTAATGATCTGAAATGTGACCCTCAGCTGAGTCACTACAAAAACTTTTGTAAAGGAAAAAGAAACGCTTGCTGAATTAGTCAGGGGAGCTCTCATTTCTTGGAGCTGCCCTTTGTTCTCCTCTGGATATGTATTCCCACTTACAGACCCTCTCTTGGCCCTGGCTTGTCTAGCCCCTTGGAAGGACTGGCTGAATCCTAGATGAATGGCCCAGCCTCTAACTCTTGGGAGTTCTACTCCCCATTGTTAAGAGTTCTTCAGGCACTTCAAAGGAGCTCTGGTGCTGCTGTGGAGTGGAGTGTAAACCTTGGACTCCCAACTCCAACATCGGCAGTTCAAGCCCACCAGCCATTCCATGAGAGAAAAAGGAGGCTTTCGGTTCCTGTGAAGACTTACAGCCTTGGAAACCCTCCAGGGGCAATCTAAGTCAGACAGCGCCAAGTCACAGATCCATTGCATACTTTCTTTAGAACCTCACTCTTTCCTCATTCCTGCAGTGGCCATTGTCACCCCCTCGCCCCTCCCCCCACCGCCTTGGTTTAAGACACCTCCGCTGAGGCCTTGCACCAAATGCCCCAGCGCACCAGGACAGGGAGACTTCCCCCTCCAGAAAGCCTCCCCTTCATTAAAGAGCTAGCGTGGGTCGCCTGGCTCCACTGAGCTCACCTTCTGAGTTTCACGTGTGTAACGACCGCTCCTTGGGCAGTATTTGAGGGGTGGTGGGCAAAAAGCCAGGGTCCCCCTTCCACAATGGAGCTCAGCACAGTGTGGGGGCAGCAGACTGCTGAAATGTGTGATGGGACAGTAAGGAAGGAAGATCCCTTTTTTCTTTGTTTTTATTTCAAAAAATAAAGCCACAGTTAATTTGACATAAATATCTGGGAGGGGTGGGAGGGGGCTGGGCAGGGGCTTGGCCCCTACCTCCTCTTCTCTTTCACACTGTATTGTAAGAGCAAAGGGGATGGCTAGAGAGAGAACAAGGGGAAGAAACAAGCGGTCAGTGGGAGCTGCCTTCTCACAGGCCCCCTCTCCCGCCCCTGCCCTCCTGCCCTGGCCCTGGCTCACTTTGCCAAACCAGCGGGAGAGCCAGATCTGCTTCATGGTCATGTGGTCGGGGAGAACTTCATTGTCAAAAAGGAGCTGGACCTGGGGGGGGGGGGCCCACACAGATTTAGGAACTTCCTTCTTGGGCTCCAGACAACTCTGTTGCTCCCTCCTTAAAGCACCTTACTTCAAAAAACCAAAAACAAAACAAGACCGCAGGTTTAACTCACGTTCTGGGGATTTAGCATTAAGCGATGACACAGGACCCTCCGGAGATGGCGAACTTCAGCTCTGACGGAACACCTGACGTATTTGTTCTGGGATTGGGGAAGGGAGGGAAGACGACAAGGTCAGGTGTGTGAGGGAAGAGGCCCCGGGAGGTCAGTCTCCTTAGAGAGGCCTTCCCCTCAACCCCTCTCACCTGTAGGACACTTTTATTCTTGTCTTTGCCAGAACTGGGGGGAGGGAGAGAACAGACACAAGTTAGGGAGCCCTTCTCCCCCACCCTAGCCATGATGTACTCTCCTCAAGGGACCAGATGCGTCCTCAAGGCTAGACCTCTTCCCCCATCCCTCCATGGCTCTGGGTCTTCGTGGGCACTGTCACCTCTGGCACCCCACCCGGACCCTGCCCCTCACCTCAGCCGCTCCAGGCACAGGCTCAGCTGCTCATCGTATCGATAGTAATGGGCTTTGGAGTGGTCAAAGCTGCTGAAGGGGAGGCCCAGGTTGCTCAGGGCTGGCTCTGAGGAAGACATGGTAGGGAGGAGGCTGCCATGGGTCCCCTAAGCCTCGCTCCGCCAAGAGCAAAACTGGGCAGGAGGAATGCCCTGGGGGCTTGCTCTCATGGTCCTCCAACCTGAGCCAAGGACATACCTTCTCCACTGGGCTGGGTGACCCGGTCCAGGCCTCGGGACTGGTAGAATTCCCGAATCCGTTTCTCTTCACCTGGAAGGGGATGAAACGTGGAAAGTAAGCTACCATGAGACCTACAAGAACCGCCGGAGCTGGATGGGGCTGCCTTATTTTCCCGCCTTTCCCAGGGTGCTTGTGCTTTCTCTAAGAATCCGACCTCATCAACACCCAGTGAAATCTTCTTTGAAAGGTTCCCGTCTTCCACAGACTTGTCCTTAGTCCTTCCCGACTCGGCATCCTTCTGGCTAGCAATCCCTTTCATCTTCCCGATTCCCACCAAAGCCTTTGTCACCTCCAGCTGTCAGCCAGAGAATGTGTCCAATTTCCCTCCCCACCCCCTCAAATCCACTCACTGTCCTGCAGGCCAGGCACTAGCTTGTACACGATGTCCTGCATAACCCGGTCCAGTTTGAGGTTGAGCAGCGGCTGGGTCTCGTGGATCTTGATGTTGCACATGGGGCAGTACTTGCTGGTCTGCAGGTATTTGACGATACAGCTCTTGCAGACTGCAGGGAGGGAAAGGCAGGCGCTCGGGCACTCTGGGAGTTGGGGCTCACGGGCCGGGCAGGGGGACAGATGGGACAGTAGGAAAGAAAGTCGAGCCCTGGGTGGGCAGTACAGTGGCTGGCGGTCAGCGTGGTGGGATCTGGGGCCTGGAGTCGGAACCGAGGCACTCACAAGTATGAAGACACTCCGTGATGGTGGTCGCGTCCACGAAGTAGCCGGCACACAGGCAGCAGACGATGTGTTCATTCAGGTCTTTGATCTTCACTCGGACCTCCTCCTGCGGACACACCTTCTGTCAACCAGCCCCAGCCCCGGCTTCCCTACTTGGGAGGAGCCTCTTGGATCAGATCCCTCGACCAAGGCCAGCTCCCGGCCCCATCCGGAGGGTATAGCGACCTGGGACGGACACGCTCCCTCCGCCCAGCAGGGGGCTCAGAGCACAGTGGGGGCTCCCTTCACGTGGACTCGCCCGACCCTCCTTTCCCAGGGGAAACTACACGACGGGGGCGGCACAATGCGCAAGCGTCCTAGCCCGGAGTTTGGCAACTCGTCTGGAATCGCGCAGGCGCGTTGTCGGGGAGACTCCGGCTCTGCGCAGGCGCACTGGGCGCCCGGCCAGCCACCACCCGTCCTCTAGCCGGCCCCACCTCGCACGGCTAGCCGATCACAGCAATAACCCTGCCGCCTCTGCACCTCGTTCCGTAGCGGGTCCATCTTGTACACTGACTGGAGCTGGTTCCGAAGCCTCATCGCGATCGCAATCTGGCCCCCCTGAGGAGACGCCATCTTAAAAGCTGATCCAGGCCTGCCACTTCCGGTGCCGTGTACAGGGCGGGACTTGTCTCCCAGCAACGAGGGCCTAGGTCTTTGGCGATTCGCTAACCCTCTGTAAGGCCCCGCCCACGCCCCTTTCTACCCGTGTGCTCACCTGCGCCCTACTGGCCCCTCCCCCTCTTCAATCAGTCGTTAAAGAGTGCGGGAGGGGTGCGGGATGGTCCTATCGCTTGCATCTCCTCTGAGAATCTTCGTAATAGACTCTCCCCGACCTCGGGACTAACTTTTGAAGCCAGCAAAAGACTGCCCCCTTCCAAAAGGCCCGACTGGCTCCGCCCGCCACCACCCGCCACCACCCTGGCTTTGGTCTCCTGTAACGATGACCCCAGAGAAGAAGCCCCTCCAGTCTCCTGAGACGATGACCTCAGAGACGAAGCCCCTCCAGGGCGCTGTCACCTTGTCGCCTGATGAGCCCGCATTGCGGAGCTTCATTCAACCCGATGGCAGACCTTCTCCGTGCTCCACGGCAGGAGTTTGTCCCGGCTTCGCGGAGTCTCGGAGAGGGTGCCTGGCTGAGGGGCGGAGGGAGGACCCCTGGGACTTGGTAGCGATCCTAGCCCCCACTCCCCACGATCTCCCCCTGCTGCCGGGGGTATGTGGGGGAGCAGGCCCTGGTTAATGATGATGATTTAATCATCGGCGCCTGCGGAGGCCTGGGACAGACTAATGCAGAGCAGATGCCTGAGGAGGGGGGAGAAGGGCGAGGACAGTGCCCCAAGCCCAGGCAGCCTGCCTGCAGCAGCAGCCTAGGCCCCGGCCCCGCGCGCTGGGAAGGACGACCCAGGGCTTGTACACCACACCGGGCGGTCCCTGCCCTCTGGGGCTTACAGTGGACTGTACAGCAAGGTTTTAATACTGGGCGGTATTAATACCAAGTGCCATGGAAATTAGAGAAGGAAGAGGCCCCGATGGACACCTTTAACCCGCAAACAAACAAAAACGGGAGAAAAGACTTTCTGGAGTGGGACTTTATGTGGGTAGGGGGTGTGGGGGTGTGGGTGGGGTACGGCTCACTCATGAACTGCGACTTTTAACCCCAGAGCAGTAGGGAGCCGGCCGCTTTTCTGAAGAGAGATTTTCCTTGTGAAGGGGGGCTTTGGGTCAGTTAATATCAGAGTGAGTTGGTGTGAAAGGGCAAAGCCGTACACCATCCGTGATCCCTTACCGAACAGCCGAACAGCCGTTGCCTGGTCCATGTCACCTTCAGCTCCACTGGGAAGGCGGGTGCGCGGGCGGGGCCTGCCGCCTCTGCTCTGCTGTCCCTGTTAAAGCATATGCACTGGGCAGGAAGGGAGCTTTGAAGTGGTACATGTGCTCATTATTTTCATGGTGGCTTCATGTCCGCTTGTCAAAATGTGTCCAACTGGACACTGAAAATATGTGCACTTGTCTTCTGTCAACTGTACCCTGGGAAAGCTGTTAGAAGTTGATAAAGCCCTCCTAAAGCATGCTTTTTCCATCAAGATAAAAGCCAAAGTCCTTATAATGGTCTTCAGGGCCCTGCATGGTTTCTCCCATGGGATAAACAGCCTCACCGTTTATCCCAAAGACACCAGGATACACTCCCATCCCCACTGTGTCCCTCCATGAATCGTTTCTTGCCCAGGTACCCAAACGGCCTGTCCCTTCTATTGCTTCCTTCAAGTCTGGACTCATGTTACCTTCATGGGGCCTTTCCCAGTCACTTTACCCAAATCACTGCTCTTCACCACTTGGCTTCGTATTTTCCTTCCTTGTTTTATTTTCCTCCTTTGAATTTATTATTGTTATATGAGTATACACTACCTATTTCTTATTTTTCTTCTTAAGAAAATACAAAAACCCTGTCTCCCTCACTAGAATGTAAGTGCAGCAATGGCGGGGATTTTTTCCCTTTTTTCTCCTTAGTGACTACCAGTCCCACACGCATAGCAGTCATTCAGCCTGAGCTTCAAGGGCAAGCAAATGAAGATGTCTTGGTGGTGGTGATAAAGGCCCAGATTAGGGTTTTGTTGGTGGAAATGGAAAGGGGAGGGGGCTGTTGTCTGGATATTTCAGAGGAAAGTGCAGCAGGAGGAAGTAGAGAATTGGTTTTGAGTCCTGGGTGAGAGGATGAATGAAGCACTTGGGGGTGGGGGGTGGCCTCTAAATGGTTGGACTCAGGGTGGCAGTAGGAAAGACAGGTGGAGGTAGACCTTTCCACCAGGGCTGGAATACAAGAAGTGTCAGAACCAGGGTTGGAGGTCTCAGCGGTGGCCAGAGGGGGGTGGGAATTGAAATGATTGGAATGGGTAAAACCTGAGCAGATGCAGAGAAAGAGAGAGGATGGGGGAAATCTACGCTCTGAAGAATACTCACACAGTGGAAGAAGTAAGGCCAGTAGAGGACAGGTAACAGTGACTATGAGTCCAAAGACCACGAATAAGATACTACAGAAATCAAAGGAGCCCTGGTGACTTAGCAGGTTACACTTTTGACTGTTAACCTCAAGGTTGGCAGTTCAGAACTACCAGAGGCTCCAAGGGAAAAATATGAGGCTTTCTACTCCTGTAAAGATCAACAGGATCAGAAACCCAAAGAGGCAGCCCTACCATCTTACAGGATCACTCTGAGTCAGAATCAGCTCAATGGTAGTGCATTTTGAGACAAGTCAAAAGGGGCAGTTCAAGAAACAGTCAACCAATAAACTTTGTCAGAGAATTGACATTGGGCACTGGAGTTCTCTGCTGAAGGACCAACAGTGTGGGTAAAACAATCAAATACACAATGAAATGAAGGCAGTGGGTGTGGAGAGCAGAGAAGAAACACAGTTTCTCTAGAAGAGCCAGGTCCCTATTTTGCCTGGAGGATGGAAACCGGAGACAATTGGGAGTGGGGGGGCTAAGCTGAAGAGAGAAACTGTGAAGTAAGAGTGGGGACTGTAGCAAGGGCAGGAAGGAAATGGAGTGAAAGGGCATATCTGGAGCATGGCCTTTCAGTGGCGCTGCAGGCTCATAGTTAAGAGTGGGGGCTTCATGCACGTGGGATATGGGAAGACAGATCTAAACAGTGGGGTGGGGTGTGGTACCTCGGGGTGCAGTGTGTGCACTCACCCCAGAGCTTCTATCTCCAACATGGTGAACTAACAGGAGACATCTTTTTCTGAAGACCATGGAGGGGCAAGTAAGCAGGAACTGGGTGTTTAAGTCAAACAGAAATCCCTGGGATTGGGGCTGACAAAACTGGTAGTCCCTGATGTTTCTTCTTTTCAGCATTGTCAGCCCTAGTGATAATTTTAATTCTCAGATGCCATCTCAGAGTGAACAACCTGAACTTCGATGCTCCAGAGTGAGCATCTGTGTGGATGTACGAGCCATGGATGTACAGTGAGCCAATTCTCATGTATTGACTGACATATTGATTTCTCATGTATTGACTGACTCATTGATTCATTCAAAAGGATTTATTTAGGTTGGTACCGGGCAGGTCCTTAAATCACAGAGTCAGGGTGCGCATCACCCCCTGCTCAGAGTACCCTGTGCTCCCCAGGGTGAGAGGAGGATGGGCAGACTGAAGCAAGCCACAGGCCTGCCCCCAGAGAGTCTGCATCTCTCTGATGTTTCTCTAGGCTGGCTTTCTGTTCTCATCCACCCTGAAACTCAGACTCTCTTGGAGAGCTAAGCCTGAACAGCAGTCTCATGCGCCCAACAATCCTTACTACTGAGAAAAGGGCTGGGCTTCGTTGAAGGGCTGGATGAGGTCATCAGACTGCCTTTCCCCACCAAGATAGAAACACAGCTGTCCAATTGGCAGAAGGGGGCTTTGGGTAGGGTGGGGAGAAGTGGGGTGCAGGCAGCCACGGCTGGGTGGATGTCTTCTTACTAATGCTACTCTGATCCCGACTTCCTCCCCACCCACACTCAGAGCCCACCCCCTTCCCTCTGAGCAAAGTCTTCCTCTGAGAACCCTGGGAGGCTGGCAGGTTTGGGGCAGGGAAAGAGTCCACACTCTCTCTGTGTCTTGCTTCCCAGATGCCCAAATATCACTCCAGGTTCCCAAGGGAAAAAAGACCCCCTCACCCTGCCCCAGGCCTCAGGCTGCCAGCCCATCTGCTGGGGAGAAAGAAAGAAGGGGCAGAATTTTCTCCAGGGGATCCTGGGAAATCGATGGGAAGAGACAAGCCTCAGGAGCCCCATCTTGGAAACTTGGAAGGCGCTTTTTGGCACAAGGCAGAAACCTACGCCTTTGGTGCAGTGGGCCGGCTGCTCAGACCACCATGTGCCTGAGGCAAGCGGAACTGCTCGTCTGGTGCCCACCCGCAATGGGGTGGTAGGGGTGCCCCCCTCCCTGCGCCCAGTCTCACCGGCTCCGAGGCGCCAGGGCCCCCCCGGGGGCCAGGCCGGGCCAGAGAAGGTAATGTAATTCTGGCCCTGGTAACCCGATTATGGCGGCCTGCACCGGGCCGGGCGGCGGCAGGGGCGGGCCTAAGGCGCAGGGGCCCGCCCGGCGAGGGTCCCATCCCAGGGAAGACTAGGAGTTCACCACTTCCAGCTCCCGGTCCCCGCCCTCCGCCAAAGGTCACAAGGTCACTGAGCCGCTCCACTCTCTTCACTTTAGCTCCTTTGGGGCGTGATTTCTGGGGGTCTGATGGGGTGGAGGGTCTATGGGAAATAGGTGGCTGGGACCCTCAGAAGGCCTCAGTGAGGTCTCGCTTGTCGCCCGTAGCGATTTCGCCTCCTCACCTTTTTAGGGTGGGGGGCATTTGAGCGTAGACAGCCTAGGGTTAGAGGGGCAGAGCCCCGCTGCGGGGTGAGGGCTGTACTGACGATCCGAGGTAGAACACCCACCCCAAATTCCCACCCTCCTGAGCTTGCCAGGGTTCAATTACGCACCGGTCCACTCGCTCCGATTTCAGAAAATCGAAAAAAAAAAAAAAAAAAAAAGTCGGAGAACCACACCCATTCCTGGCGTGGAGGAACAGGGCGTGGGGGGCCTGTAAGAATAGCTGGGAGGTGCAGGATCCTTGGCCAACAGTGATTGTCCCCACCTAAGGCCACCAGACTTGTCTTGCCAGCCCCTTCCCACATCTGTCCTCTTCCCGGGCCTCCAGCTCGCCCGGCTGCGTTCAAAAGCTGCCTCCCATCTCAGCTGGGAAGCCACAACGAGATTTGAACTTCCAGGGCATTGAGACCGTGGCCACAACGAATCCAGGCGTCCGCCGGCAGGACTCATCGGGCAGCGAAGAGTGGGGGCCGAGGGAGGAGGCACCTGCCGAGGAGGAGCCCATGGAGCCGAGGTAGTCCCAAGGCGAAGGCCGGCGAGGATGTAGGCACCGTCAGCATCCCGGTCGACTCAGCGCGGCTCAGGGTTCCTAACTCCTGGCCACCTCCCCCCCACCCCCATGCCCGCAGGTCAGTCTCCCTCTAGTTCAGCGCAAACCGGCGTCTCTTCCCCTTTAACAGGCCCGGCCCCGCCCCTGCCCTACCCCCAGCCCGCACTACCCACTCGGGGTGATCTGTCAGTCACTGCCACAGCTGGAGCCGGCCAACCCTCTTCACCCTGGACCGTGGCAGCAGCCCGGCACCCCAGCCTCCATCTGCGGCTCAGAGCCAGCGCGGGTGCTCCGGGGGGGCCCCCCCGACTCGCCCAGCTCTCCCGGGATGAGAGTCCCGGCGAGGACCGTGGACAGCGGAGCAGCGCATGGGCGCGGCTACTCCCTGTGCACAGGGATGCTCCTGTCACAGAGGCCCTGGCGCCCCGCAGAGGCCAGCTCCCCGGATCCCTAAGGCCGCTGTCCCAAGCGTGTTGTCACCAGGGTCCCGGAACCGCCCGGAGCCATTTCTCCCCAACTGTGAGGCCCCTGAGGTCCTCTCGGGCCAGGACCCATGGAGTCGGAGGGGCTGGTTGTGCACAACCTCCCGCACCACGAGCCAATCAGCTTCGGCATTGATCAGATCTTGAGCGGCCCTGAACCCCCGGGGGGCAGCCTGAGCTGCGGCCGCGGGGGCGCGGGTCCTGGGGAGAATGCAGCGTTCTCGGGCAGCTTCCACAGCGCGGCAGGTTACGGCCCCACGGGTTCGCTGGCCCCGCTGGTCAGCAGCTCGGGTGTAGGC